TCACATCCACCACATCACATCTCATTATTCATATCTTGTCATGTATACATTATTAGTTTAGGAAAAAGAATTAAATTCATTTTATAAACTATATACTGACTCTGTCTGAATTAATATGAAGTGTGTTTATGGTCCCTGAATAAGCAAAGAACCCTAGAATCCTCTGATTAAACATTCAAAGATCAGTCAGATTGATATTTCATATTTGTATGGAATATCACATCTTATTGGTCATAACTAATATGTATTAACTGCTACAATACTTTAAAAGTCTAACTTTTCGTACACTATGTAGGGTTTACCCAGTGCTGAAGCGATTGGCTTAACAAACTACCTTTTGCTTCATGCCTCATATTACACTGCAAACCAAACAAAAGCCTTTTACAAGCCTGGAAGCCTACAGATGTTTTATTTCAGGTTGGTTAACAATTTAGTAATGAGGAGATGCTTTAAAAGACCGTCATATTGTTTTTGCTTGGTCGTGAGTTGTGCTATTTTAATTCATTAGCTCATGATAACAATGCTATCGCTAACGCTAACGATCAGTATGTGTTAGGATCTACTTGTAATAAACTTTTTATGCCTAGTTAAATCCACTCGGTAATCTCTTGCCTGAAAGTGATTGCTGTAAACTCCAGCATTGTCCATTTAAGCTCTTGCTTTGTGCCATAGATTACTGATCTACTTCTGTTGTCTTCTTTCAGTCCATTTTTTTTAAGTAGGTCCTTTGCGGCCCACAACATTCGGGACTTGAAAAAAAAACATTTGTCTTTGTCCCAATTAGAGTAACTGTAATATCCATAGAATGCCTAGAATTCCGGCTTTTTAATGCCCAGTCACCAAAGTAATAGTGTTCTGTGCAGTGTCCGCTACTTACGGACCCCCATCTGCATTTAGTGAGGTAGATGTAACGTCATGTGAAACCCAGCAATAGAAGATATAAAACATTTGCATTTCGACATGAAAGTTCTCCCTCTAAACATTGTGCGTGGGTGGCCCCGATTCTCTCTAAGGCAGCCTTGTTGGTTTGGAAAAAATATGCTCCTTCCCTTTGGGTTGCTTGCCCTGTCCTAACTGCACAAGATCTCTAGATTAAATGTTGGAAGCCTTACATAGCTGTGGCGGTGTGCGCACAGCCGCAGGGGAGAAGTGACGCAGCAGATACGGTTGACGTGTTAGAAGCTGCAGCACTGGAGCGAGAAGTCGCAGCTGCTGCAAATGACTGATCAGACTTATTCTACATATATTCACAGGACACAGATAGATTGCTGGCTGTAGAAAGCAGCAGTGAATCAGAAACTGTAAATAAAAGGTGCAGACAGTCAAAAGCTGGTGTATGGTGTTTTCTGTGAGTGTGACCCTCAAGTAGCTGTCAGTGCTGACACGTTGCCTTTTAGATCTCTTTTGTACATTTGTTCTGTGTGTAAATTCATAATTCATTACTTTGGTCTTTTTTTACACAGCTTAGCAAAAAAATAGGGGCAGTGCCATCAGCAAGGAGGACGTGGAAAGTAGAGGGCGACATCGTCCTCTGCTGCCCGCGGATAACTGGAAGTGACACCACCAACACAGCGAACTCTGATGATGCTAGAGTCATTAGCCGAAACGTAATGTAAAAAAACATTTTTTTTACTAAGCTGGGTAAAAACTAACAAAGTAATGGATTATGTCTTTTAGATGCTTGTGGGCTACTGTAGCTGCAATACCTACCTACTCTGAAATGAGTGGCGCTAAGGAGTCGAATGTTTTTATAAATATTTACACATTTATAAATGTATGTAATCAGCGAGTGTTAAATGTGCAAACTAAAGGATGAGCTATTTTATTCTCAAAAGTTTGTGTTTGCAAACTACATAAGAGAAAAAAACCACAAGAACGTATCTGGTACATTTTATTTGGATGCACGTGTCCAGGTTTGCCAGGGCTCCTCCATAACTCTTACTGCATTAAGGTATTAAAAACAGAACCATTCTGCTAACATTCTGCTTACAAGTGAGAAAAAAGACAGCTTATAGGAAATGGTCCTCCCACACTGATGTAAGATCAGCAGAATTTATTCAGGAGGTGGACTTTTAGGCTGATGATGAAAACTGATCTTCACTTGCTTTTACCCCACTGCATTATCAGCATTTGACTCCATATGAGGAGAAAAATGGTGATCTCACAACAATCTGACATCGACACTACTGATTACGTCATAAGAAGCATGAATCAGTGCACTAAATTAATTATATAATGATGAATGTTGTTATGAGACTTAAACATCAGTTCTGCTTTGTGTCCATGGTGTACACATAAATACAGAGATATGAAAACCTATTTACCCACTCTTTTACAGTACTGTATATTACCATCACAACAGTTTAAAATGACAGAAAGAGAAAGATTTGAATTTTTTCATGGTTTTCGCTTCTCACTTGTAACGTTGGTTGATTTAAAACATCCTTTCAGAAAGAAAGAAAGAAAGAAAGAAAGAAAGAAAGAAAAAGAAAACGATCTTTAATATTGCACCTCTCAAGATTAAAAAAACCCGAGAAGCTTCACAAAAACAAAAACAACAAAAAATATGAAAGTATAAAAAGATTTCAATAATTTATAAAAATTTGTTTAAAATGAGAAACAAATGTGAGCGAAAGGAGAGAGAAAGTTAATAGGAGAGAGGGAAATCAATGGATCCTGGGAAAGGCAGAATACGAACAGAACAAGGAGAGGGTGGTGATAAAGGTCACGCAAAAGCCTGAATAAGTGAGTTTTCAGCTGCTTTATAAAGGAGCCAACTGAGTCCACTGATCTCAGGCTCAGGGGGAGATAGTTCCAGAGTCTGGGGGCCACAGCAGCAAATGATCTGTCAACTTTGGTCTTTAGCCTGGTGCACTGCACAATCAGTAGGCTTTGGTCACTGGACCTCAGGGACCTGCTGGGAGTGTAGCGACTGACAAGATAACCAATGTATGATGGTGCTTGTCCATGTAAGGCCCTAAAGACCAGAACCAGGATCTTGAAATGAACCCTGAAGTTAACTGGCAGCCAATGAAGCTGGAGGAGAAGCGGGGTGATGTGGGTGTGTTTGGAGGACTTGGTCAGAAGCCGAGCACAGGCATTCTGAACCACCTGTAGACGGTTCAGGGAGGCTCTGCTCAGACACGTGAAAATAGACTAAGCCTATTACCTTCAAAATGACAAAATATGTATTGATTCTAATCATATTTTTGTGCTTGTATTTTATTTTCACAGGGATGATAATTTGGAGGAGGTGATGGAACAAGGTGAAACTAAAAATGAAGAATCTTCACATATTGTTTTGTTCATCTTCATCATAATAATGACAACATGACAACAGGTGCTCATATAGTAAGTAAGTAAGTAAGTAAGTAAAAGTTTATTTATATAGCGCCTTTCACAGATATAAATCACAAAGCGCTGTACAACATGATAAAGATCAGGGCAAATACCTCTAACCAATAAAAACATCAGAAAAACAATAGCAGTGATATAACAGAAAATAAAATCATGAGTATAAAAAAAGTGAAGGTGTGAACCCGAACAAAGCCATCTTTTTGAAACATTTAGGGAGGGAACGCCTGGATGAAAAGGTGAGTTTTTAGATGATTTTTAAAGACCTCTACAGTGTTAGAGAGACGGAGATTAGAAGGTAGACTGTTCCAAAGTCTGGGTGCAATAGCCTGAAAGGCCCTGTCCCCTTTGGTTTTCAGTCTGGTTCGAGGAACAGCCAGGAGGTTTTCAGATGTGGATCTAAGGTTCCGAGAGGTGGTGTGTGGGGATAAAAGCTCAGATAGGTAGCTTGGAGCCTGGTTGTTAAGAGCTCTATAGGTCAGGACTAAAACTTTAAACTGAATTCTATATTCTACCAGGAGCCAGTGGAGGGACTGTAAAACTGGGGTGATGTGAGCTCGTCTGCTGGATTTGGTTAGGAGTCTGGCTGCTGCATTTTGGATGGCTTGAAGGCGTGAGAGGGAGGTTTTGCTGAGACCAGTAAAAAGAGCGTTACAATAGTCTAAGCGTGATGACACAAAGGCATGGATGATTTTTTCCAGATCTGCAGTAGAAACCAGTTTACGGACTTTAGAAATGTTTCTCAGTTGAAAGAAACAAGAGCGGGAGATGGTTTTGACGTGTGAGTCTAAACGTAAAGCTGGATCAAAAATAACTCCTAGGTTTCTAATGTTGGCCTTGGCTGATGGGCAAAAAGAGGCAATTTCTTGCTCGATTTTTGGCTGAAGTTCCGGGGGTGCAGAGATCAGGGTCTCTGTCTTGTTAGCATTGAGGACAAGAAAGTTGCTGGACAGCCAGTTACTGATCTGGGTCAGGCAGAGTACAAGTGTGGCCAGCCTGTCCAACTGGTGTGGCATAAAGGACAGATAGGATTGTGCTGCTTAACATGTCTGAGCATCTTGACCACGTTGTTGTGTGTCGGGGAGGAAAAATAAAAACTACAGCAGCCACAGAGTCATGCTGATTTGAGCGTGTTGCTGCTCGCTGGAGTTATATCAGCTCTGTCTGGAAGTTGTTTGGAAAACTTTCTCTTTCAGTCGTGAACACATAACTGAGCGGTTAAAATCTCCGTTTCTGGGCTTCAACGTCGGCAAATAGCTGAGTAAACTCGGCACTGAGTGAGAGGAGTGTTTAGTTTGTCCGAGACAGCGGAGCTGCAGACACTGGCAGCAGACGCTGGAAAAAACACAAAGGACGGGGCGCTTCGGCTCCGCGTTAACGCAGCAAAGCATCGTGGGAGTTGTAGTCTTTGCGGTAAAATTGGCCAGCAGGTCAGTTTTACTATATTTTTGATATTCATCTCGCGGGCCACATAAAAATGCTCCGTGGGCCTTGTGTCTAACATGTGTATTAGAGCATTGAATGTCTGTATTTGAAATGTAAGTTCTTAAAAATGACATAGCTGCATTGTTTGTTTTGGTTTGTTGTTGTATTTTTTTTTTAACAAATGAGGTGTCGGTGTGTGCATATGTTTCTGATGTACTCACAGCTGGCACTGGTCTCCTTTGATCCCCTTGGTGGTGCAGAAGCATTTGCCCGTTAACACCTGGCATACGTTTGCGTGACCATTGCACTTACAAGCTGGATTGGAAGATAAGCACAGATGGAAGAAAATAAACATCCCTGATTAAAATTGCTTTCAATGATGATCTATTAGACAAAAAACATCTGAGAAAAAGACCACCAAAAGTCAATAAAGATTCTACAATTCACACAGTCAACGCAGAAACAATCATTCTTCCAATTTAAAGAACTTGGCACATAGTTTCTTGCTGGTTGTGTTGCTTGTGCTAAATCAGATTATTTCTGTAACACCAAACACAAAGAGAAGAAATTGATATTGATCTGAGAGAGGTGGTAAACAACTGCCTTTCCCAAAAGTCTGGCTGAACGTTTGAGATCAGACAGACATGGGAAAAACCCCAAAGCTCCCGCCAGGAGGCTATACCACCCACCAGGTCTAGAAGTGTGTCTGAATTGTTGAAATGATGGGTAAAAGATGGGTGAACTGGCTGCTGCAGAGGCAGGCTTTTACGTTTGCTTTTGCAGGACAAATGGGGGACCTGTTTACTTCCAGTTCAGAGTTTAAAACATGAAGAAGACTTGTTACTGAAGGGTCAGTGGGTCCTCCAAACCCTGCACACCTGTCTTCTTTACACATACCAGCATTGAGCAGATGAACATTTAGGATAATTTGAAACTATGGATGTGCATTGGTAAAATTCTGGCCATTCGACACATATCTTGATACAGAGGAGATGATACGATATATCAAGATATATTGCGATACATTCAGCCAGACGCTATTAGCGATTTTTTTTAGACTGAATTTATTGTAGGAAAATCCGATAAACAGTCCAAACTGATACATAACATGTTTAACATGAGGTATCTGAACCATAATTGGGGGGTTTACTTCTCAATGGTGGAAATAAAACCCATGGCACACTACTGCCAACTAGCAGTTGGCGTTTGAATTGCACCAAAAGAAAATACACAAATGTTTGCATGTAAATTCTTCCAAAAATTTGATACACAGCTTTTGAATATCGATATAATATCTAAAGAAGGATATCACAATATATTGCCATATCGATATTTTCTTACATCCCTATTTGAAACCATCTCAATTCTTACTTTTTGTGTACACTCTTTATGAGTCACATTACTAATAATACACTAAATGCCCTCATCTCAGATTAAAACACGACGAAATTAAAGATTTAGGACGGGTAAAGTATTTCTGAAAGAATGAGAGGAATATTCCTCCAATATTGACTTTCACTTCATACCAATGAAACTCAAAAAATTTGAATATCATGCAAAAATGTGTGCATTTCAGTAATTCACCCTAAATGGTGGAACTAATATATACGGTTTAACTTTGATTTGATGTGATTTTACTATTTGTTTTTGACTCCATCAACAGTTTAGCCCCCTCTTATCTCACTGAGATTTTTGTGACCCATGCTCTAACTAGCGGTTTGCGCTCCAGCTCAAAGCAACTTTATGAAGTTCCAAGAACTAAACAAAAAATTTGGGGTGACAGATCATTCCCAGCAGCTGGACCTACACTTTGGAATGGTCGGCCATTGGAAATCAGGTCTGCTCAAACGTTGACAACTTTTAAATCATCACTGAAGACCTAATTATTTCATTGAACTTTTAACTGTAGCTGAATTGTTACTGTGTTCCTTTCTAACTTTATTAGCTTTTTAAATATTTTTGTTTGGTTTTAATGGAATTTTTGACATGTGAGGAACTTTGGGCAGCCTTGGTGTAAAAATGTCCCATTTAAATAAATCAGACCTTGACCTTGAGCTAGACTCATTACATGCAAAGCGATATACAAAAGTTCCCACTTGGATTTAACTTGGCAAATAGGTAAGAGCCTCCTATTGGATCATTACTGCATGGGTGATTATTTTTCAGCTGGCAACAAGTTATTTAACCCAAACTGGTGTAATGAGTTGCTTCTCATTTCTTAAACAAAAACATGGAAAGACACATCTGGTGGTCGTGGAAAACATGTTAGTCTGTTTGAGAAGGGTCAGAACATTGGCATGCATCAAGCAGAGGAAACATCTAAGGAGATTGCAGAAACGACTAAATTTCACTTGTTACAGCTTCACAAACACTTATACAAAAGTACAGGTACCTGCTAATATACATCTGTATTGAACACATACTGAATATTGCATTGATGTTAGCGTGTGACAGGATAATGTAAATACCAGTTAAACTGTGGAGTTATACACTCTTACTGCAGTGGGAATGAATGACCTATGGTAGGGTTCAGTTTTACATCTTGGATGTCTCAGTTTGCCACTGAAGGGGCAGTCCATTGCCTCTATAGTAGAATAGAGTGAGTGGTTTTTATCTTAGGTGATAAAGATACAGTATATTCTTTCTTTCTTTCTTTCTTTCTTTCTAATCAAAGGTAAAGGCAGTCCAACTACAAATTTCAGTGACCTTTTTTTAGGGAGGGGGGCGTGCCCCCCGTGGTAGCAAAACGGTCTGCTTGTGATGAGGTCCCCCCAGCACATCACACAGAAATGAAAGGGTATTCTCATTAAGAGCCACAAAATCAACCTAGTGCTCAACATTGAGAATGCATTTTCTAATATGACTCTTTTTAAACTAAAGTTCCTGTTCAGAACTATGATTTAATCCCATATTTGTAGAAACTGTGAAATAACTTGCCCTGTTAAGAGATGTTAGGCAAATTAAGTAACAATTTGCACCTCAGTGAACAAAAATTACATCAAGCAAAGTTTATCCAAATAAACAGAAATCTGAGTTTTCTTTGTTATACGAACAGCTTGCAGTAGGGTTCTAATATGATGAATTTTGAAGTCCTAAAGTTAAAAGGAACCATCCATCCCCAGATGGATGGTATGGCAGCATTTAACTCATGTCTGGCTAATATACGGCTCATTTATTAGAAAGAAACCCTGACGCAGGCTAATATAATGATCCGATTTTACATCCACTCTTACACTGATTGCAGCCACTCTGCACAATGAATTCAGCAGGAATGTTACATTTCTGGATTAAGGATAAGAATTTATATAAAATATATTTGGGATGATGAAAAAAAGCACAACACAACAATTGACCTTGCAGTGCACCACACATGCTCACCAACTCCACTGACATGAAAAATTTCAAACCTGTCATGTGAGGAGCAAACCAAACACATGCCAGCTAAACCAGACAAATCTGACGCCTGTGGTAAACCAAGACGAGCAAATAATCCATTTAGCTACTTCAATCCAGGACACTGTAGCGCCCTCTGTTGGATATAATTCAGAATGATGATGTAATATTACTCTTCAAATAAACATATAGGCTTTTATTATGCGAGTCATATTTTACTAAAAGAGGAGGAGCTAAATGGGAGAATTTAATATGTATTTATATTATTTCTTTTTAAAAATGATGGGAAGGTCATGGCTTCAGGGTCAAACTATATCTTTTCACGGTCCTGTTGGTATGGAAGGAAGCTTTGACGCAACGGGCAACTCACCTTGGCATTTTCCACCATTGGTTGGGTCTCCATGGTAACCGGGCATGCAGGTTTCGCAGTGTAGACCAGTGGTAAGGTTACGGCACTGCTCACACACACTTCCGTTGACACACGTGCTGTGGCCGTTACACTGGCAGGCTGAGGAGAAAATGTGACATGAATAACATGTAGACATAAGTGGGTAAATTTACATCTATGTATTATTACTTCTTAGAAATGGAACAGACCCTTTAGAGCTGTAAGCAGCTTGTGTCTGCCGTGTCATATTAATTATTGTTTGATCAGCTGTGCCTTTTTAAAGTATTTTCATGGCAACAACTTTTAATTAGCTTGAGCCAAATTGCAACTGGAATAAGTTTGGTAGCTTGTACTAATGTTTCAGGTGACAAGAATAACTCTTCTTAAGTGTGTTATAACTAGCATATTTTAAGAAAAAGTACTCCAGTACTTCTCATTGTATTTTACTATAATCTAAAAGCAGGATAATGCATAATTTCCCATGAAATTGCCAAAATTAATCAATCAGATTATGAATGGGCAAAATATGGGTCCAAACTGATGTCCTCATTTGAAAATAACAAAATAAACCAACATTTAATTTGCCAAATTAAAGCTGGTAGAAAAGCTAATTCTGACTCAAATCACATAGATGCCTTAAACATTTTGGATGAAAATCATATAAAAGCTTAAACATTTTATTCAAAGGGTCACATCGTAAAAAGATTGATATAATATGAAAGTATTTGTTTATTTTCCAATTCAAAGCATGGTATTTTAATAAGCTCATTATTAGGGGTGTGTAATGGCAAAAATCTGGCAATACAACAGACATCACAATTCAGGGGAGACAATATGATATAATGCAATACTAAAACCAAGACGATAAATGCAATTTTAGGACAGAATTGAATTAGAAAACTTGAACCAGACACTACCAAGTCATATCCAGTGTTATTAAATCTTATTCCATCAGAATGATTACAGAAAATTACTGCCACCACGCAATCGGAGTTAGAAATGCACCACATAAAAGGAATCCAGTAAATGTTTGTATGTAATTTCTCAATGAAAAATCAAAACATTGCTTTTAAATATCAATTCACCACCATAACATGAAATATTACCTTTTTTCAGTGTTTCTTACATTCCAAGTCATTATGACACAAACAAAAAGTGTCTCATCCCATCAACTCTAGTGATGTGTCGGTCATGAACAAAACAGCTCTTAGAGCTGGCACTTTGAAGTGACCTATCAAAGCAGACTCCATTTTTGGGGGGTGGGGGTGTTGATGCTTGGGACATTTATTACATTTAAGAGACATGACCTGTAAATATTGGTGGGGACATGTCCCCGGTGCCCCCAGTTAAAGTGATGCCTATACAAACTGGCACAGATCCAAGCACAAGAGCAGGAGGATATGAACATGGAGAAAAAACAGCTCTACAGAAAGATGAGGAAATGAGTAAAAGCAGGAAATTTCAGCAAGATTTGGTCACATTTGAACTATACTGGCAGTTCAAAGGCAGAATGTGAATTATGCAAAGGGGTTGCAGGGATTAACCAGATTGACTATTAACCATGGTTAACCCCTCGTAAAAATGTCTCCAATGCAGCCTATAAAAAAAAACAGAAAGATGATAACGCGACCCGCACGGACAAAAACTAAAGTGAAACTGAACGCGTGCACGCAGCAGAAGCAGAGCCAGTGACAACAACCATCGGGACTGTTCCATTTCCACCTCAGAAGGGGTTAAAATGTCGTGTGGGAATATTTCAGCTATATTAGATATATATTTGTGGGGGGTTAACCGCGGTTAATAGTCAAACCGGTTAATCCCTACAACCCGATATATCGAACAGGCTCTAATAGTTAAAAGTTAGAAAATATTTTACTTACAGTGTTTGTTTGTTTTAAAATGTGTTTTGTGCCACAGTTGTTTAAATTATTATAATTGAAATAATATAGTTTTAACCAGCCTGAGTTTGGCAAATGTAATAATGTATAATGTTGTAACTACCTTGGTGCATGACTTCAGGGGGGCTACCAATAAAAGTTAGCCTTTTGATAATAATTGGATACAACTGCATTGTAAAATGTTTATTAATGTACAATGTCCCTATAAATGAAATTTAAGTTATTCATTCATTCAAATAAACTTTTCATATAATGTATGTTTGTAGATTAATTGATTTTATGAACAATTCTACAGAATTTCTGATGAGAAATTAATCTAAAAAACAAAAAAATGTGAGGAGCTGTTTGAGAGCCAAAAGAGTAAAATTTTAGTGAGTCGAACTGTAGGAAATGGTTCTCTTAAAAGAGCCAGAGTTCCTGTCACTAAACTTTACACTAGCTGGGGGTATCGTCATGTAACATATAGTAGTTGTATAGACGGGAGTTAATGAATGCATAGGGTTGCTTGGACTCATCAGGGAGGGATTAGTTACAACAAAAAGCTGAAACAAGATTCCAGGATATGAACATCTTTTCAAGCCAAATCCAAAAGAAAACAATCAATACCCAATAAGGGCCTCTCACACAGATGCTTTAGCAATACATGATCTGTAATTTCAGTAAGAAATTATAGACGGGAATCAGGATGATGATTACTCACCAGGGCAGTGAATGAAGGCCCACTCAAAGCCCTTGTCTTTGGGGCAGCTGCCTGGCTCCAGGCTCATGTCACGGGAAGGGCTTTGCTGGCCCTGCTTGGCCAATCTTTTCATTGGGCCCCGGTAGGAACCCTCTATGCACAGCCCCTTTCCTGTGCTGCTGGGATCTCCACACCAGCCACACTCCGGCTGCTCCAGGCACTGGGAACAGGTCCGCAATCCTGAACAGTTCTGAGCTAAAGGGGAAAAAAAGGCAAAAAATTAGTTTTCTTCCTGTTTTGTGGACCACTCGTATTGGTTACCACAGTGGATAGATGTACACACAAACTCAGCAGCAAAAGAAGCAAAATGTCCATTATGGCTGAAAACAAACCCTTGCAATTTATCCCCAATCCTTAGATTAAGAAGGTTTAACACACTTTACACTTAGGCACAAACTTTTTATCTAGTTTGGCGTCAAGACAAGAGATATGAAAACAGATCATTAGAGAATAATAAACAAGCCTCTAGCATTTAACAGACGGATTTAGGGGACAATCTTAAGACTGAGCTATATGTTTCTAACTTTTAAGTGCAGTAAAATCACAAAAGTTTGTGGTTTTAGCCAAGTTCCCCAGAAGGATTAAACGTGCCATAAGCAGTGCCACCTCAACCTAGCTTCAGGCACCCAAGGAGACATGCTGTTTTGTCAGCTGAGGGACTTTAAGGCCATTAAATTGCTTGACAAGTTTTGCCTGTCCGACAGACTGGACAAATGCCACCACTATTTTAAGAAGACAAACATTGAGTGCTTTAACCTCCGTTTATGTCAAACAAATCTACAGCTATTCTGCTAATGGATGTGAAACCATGACAACACAAGAGCAATCAGTACAAAGTGAGGCCATTCAAGTTTGTTTCAACGACACGCCGTAAGTGGAGAATTTCTCTGGAGCGCGCTCAGCTGGAAATAGACGCAGCTGCGTGAGGGCCTTTTTTGTGTGCTGTGCCACAACATAAAAGCATGGTGAAACATAAAACCCACATCTTCACAAAGACTTTCTGCAATTAAGTCTGACGGCTAAAGTGCTTATAGGACCATGATTAAGAATGAATTTAGTGTCATGGTATTTATTAAATGGTTAACCCATGGTGTCCATAAAAACTCTGAAATAGTCTGCAACATTTAGAGTAAATGTGCATTTGATTATATTTAGCTATTAAGAAAATTAATTTCCTCCACCTCTACTTTCATCTTGCTTTGTCCTCATGTGACTACTTGCTCTTTGCTTCATAAAAGTGTGCACGCGTCAGCGTCCATAAGAACTGCCAGACCGGCTCCTGACACAAACACGTTTTTATCAATTTTTTAAATCACTTTTCATTTAAACAACTGGGCATAATAATTGCCTATCACTTTTAACATTGCTCTGTTATAATCATCAGTTGTTTATAGAGCTTGTATTTACTTTACTGAAGTGGTAGTGTGTGGGACGTCACTAGTCTTCCCCCTCCATGCCTCTGCTCAACTGTGGCCCTGGAGGTCACAGCTGTCACAGGCTCAGTCAAAGAGTTCTCGAACTGCAGCAGAGGATTACAACTCTTCACCAAACCCAGGAAACTGATTTCTGTTTTCATCCTGGGCCGGATCTTCTCCGCCACCACTAGCGCCCAGCTGGCTAACACGGTTCCCCTTCAGCAAGACGAGGATACAGAGCGGGGATCCACTACAGAGTCTCTGACTGGACTTGGGATGCCGTGTGCCCATGCATCTCCTGCTGCAGAGGACAACCGCTGATTTCGGGGGGGGGGGGGGGGGGGGGGGGGGGCCTAAAGCCCCACTCAGCTACACCCCAGTTGTGTCAAGTGCCTGGACCACAGTTGTGCCCAGCCACGTTAAGGGTGCATGGGGTGCTCGCCACCGCTCTCCTCCCATCCGCCTGCCGCTGACAAACAGGTTAATTGCCTTGGATCCAGACTTTTACCCTGTGAAAGCACCCAGGCCCCAATGCTCTGCAGGATCACTGCTCGACCCCCCTCAGCCTGCAACAAAGCTGCAGACAAGCTACTGCAGCCCTCCTCATTGAGCCAAACCCCAGATCACAGCCAGAACCTGTCGAGGATTTATTCACTTCACCCTGGATCCAATGAACGCGTCCGCTGTGCTGACCACACGTCACAGCAGCCCTGAAGATGCTACCCCACCTGGACCTCAGAGTGTCCAAACTTCTGGCAACAGTGATCAGAATGCAGACACACCCACCACATTCCATCGTGAAGAATGTGTGGATGAGGAGCCCTCACTCTATTCTTCCCTGGAGCAACCATGATGGATATTGCAGCAAAAATTCCTGACCTTCTTGATCTCCATCCACGTGTGAGTAAGGTTTTTATCCACGCTGGCACTAATGACGTTTGAGTACCTTCGAATATAATGCAGCTGTTTTTGGGACTCCTCAGATTTTGTGTCACAGTTTATAGGCCTTTAAAAAAGAGCACATCTTTTTTTTTAATCAAACTTACACAACTCCTATGAACAAATCATTTTAGCTGGTGATTTTAACTTACATGTAGATCATTTTTTAGACTCTTTATCAACAAACTTTTTAAATAATCTGAATTATATGGATTTTTAGCCAACATGTCACACAGCCAACTTACAACTGAGAGCACACCCTAGACTTGGTCATCACGTGTGGCCTGTCCACCAATGTGCTCTCATTGTTGACTTGGCTGTCTCCAACCATCATTGTGTGTTTTTTAATATCACCAGTTTTACCCAGAGAGAGACCTCTGTGAGAACCGTGAGGAAACGTAATCTAACCACTGAAGTGGCTGCAGTTTTTATTGATATCTTAGAAAATTTATCTCCTATCACTTTACCTGCTCCCTGTTATTTTATAGTCAACAATCTTAACAGTAGGCTTCAGTTCCTTCCCTTGACTTGACTTAGATTTGAATGATTTTAACAACTTCAGGCCGTTAATAGTATGTTTAACTCCACCTCAAGGATCTTTTTAATGCTAATAATGTCCTTGAGAAATTTCAGTCTGGTTTTAGAGGAAGCCACAGCACCAAGATAGTCCTTTTAAGAGTTTTGAATGGTCTAAGGATAAATTATGTTGCACAGAGAGTGACGGTTCTGGTTAATACATTGGACCACAACATTCTTTTAACCAATTAAAACACATTAGCCTCTCTGGTTCTGTCCATAAATGGTTTACTTCTTATTTCACAGACAGGAGTTTTATGGTAAGTTTAGATACCTGTTGTTCTAAGGCCAGTGAAATTACATGTGGTGTGCCCCAGGGTTCGACTTTAGGCCCAGTGCTTTTTAATCTGTGTATGTTCCTGCTTTCTGGTCTTCTCAAAAAAAAGTATGTCAGGTTTACAACTTCTCCAAAAATCTGCAGCACATGTCCTGATAAAGACCAGGAGGAAGGAGCACATTACACCCATCCTAAAGAAGCTGCATTGGCTCCCCATACGTTTCAGGATCAATTTCATTGTTCTTTAATAGTTTTTAAATGTCTTAATGTTCTTGGGCCTTCTTATCTTGCAGAACTGCTTCTAGCATATGAGCCTTCACGGTCTCTGTGCTCTTCTGGGAGAAGTCTCCTTGTCATCCCAAAAGTCAGGACACACTCTCAAGGCGAGGCTTCCTTCAAGTTTTATGGCCCTCATTTCTGGAACAGTCTGCCAGAGGACCTCAGGGCCGCAAAGAACATTCATGTTTTTAAGGCCTGGCTCAAGACTCATCTTTTTAGTATAGCTTTTAGCTGAATTTAATCTATCATACCCTGTATTTTAACTATCTGTAATGGACTTACCCTAAATGGTGTCACCAAAACACATGAACAAAATCTTACTGCTGTTGTCTGCTAACTGTAATCCATATCTTGCTCTCATATCACACATTCATAATATACAAACGTTGCTGTTTATAAAAAAATATATAAACACAAAATAATTCCAAGGCCCCCAGGCAACAAAAGCTGTTTTTGCTTCAAGTAATTATTTGACAACACCAAAACTTCCAGCAGACTTTTACTAGATTTCAACAGCAAAGAAAATCAAAAACCCCATCTATTGAAAAATTACTTGATTATTTTTCAGTTCTGCACAAAATCTGGCTAAATAAGAAAAATGGATGGTGGTAAAGGAGAGACTCAGCTCCTGTTTAAAATGCTGTCTGTAGTGAACACAGCTGCAGGGGGTTTGTTCTCCTAACCCATGATGAAGAAATAGTTCTAACAGCAAAGCAGATCATAGCAAAAACTAAAGAACATGTCCAAGTTCAAGTATGCAGACTTGAACTTCAACTGAGAGGAACAAGCAACACAGCCTTTATATGGGAATATAATGGGCAGCAGTGTTTAGTGTGTATTCTCTAGCATTAGTGTTCCTAAATGTCTCGATGTGTTCAGCCCAGACTCAAGATTTATCAACACTCAGATTAAAGAAGAAATAAATAAAAGTAGGTGAAATATTTAAGACTTGTGCAGCGAATGAAACCTCCTCCCTTCTGACTGCCCACACAAACAGAAAGAGAGAAAAACACGCTGAGAATTTACACAACGACCTTCCCTGCCCTTCACGCCAAAGGAGACTAATTCCTCAAGACAAATATCCTCGGCGAACAGAATCTCTGCGTTACCCAACGCCAGCAGACACAAATGAATTTGAGACAGCACTCTTGGGCTCCCTAAATTTGTTACTCGCTAAACTGATCAGAGATGTTTTCTCAATGTGACACGACTGTGGGAATAATTCATACATCACACAGCAGCGCAAAGCCGAACTACATCGACCTTCAGGTGAAGGAGCTCCCCAATCGACTTACTGCAGGGTAGTGAAAATATGGTTTCTCCTTGGTGTGTGTCCAGTAATAGGATCTAGATCGGAGCGTTATTTTGGCTTCTTTCTTCATGTCAATGTAATCTTTGCACACAATTTCAGTGTTTGTACTTTTGTAAGTCCCTCTGTTGATTTAAGCTTACCATTCAAGTGTAATGTCCAGCAATGGTCAGTTTAGGTACAGTCTGGCCTTTCAACATCTATTCAACATCTGGTCAGAAAGGAGACACAACACTGTGTGTTCCCTTTAAATGAGCCTGCCTTCATACCAGCTGGGACTCACAGACTCTGCAAGTCTGAAAGACAAACAATAACTTCCTTTCCCAAGGTCCCATCTGTCTGCCTCCACAGAAGGAACTCCAGCTCGAATCAGTTGCTAAAATCAAGAATGATTTCCTAA